CACTACTAAAAAAAGGCTCAAAAGAGAATGAGTGCTATCAGTCCCTTTTGGCCTCTTTAGGGACTGAAAACAGTGTCTATTGTAGTATTAGGGACTGATATATATCAGTGTCTTTTAAAGGGGTCCTCTATTGATAAAATGTCACTAATTATAAAAATCAGTGCCTAATTTGTGCAATGGATCCCACATCCCTAACACCCAATGCGCGTACATCAATTCCAAATACATCCGTAACTAATGCATTGCCTAGGTACGGATAACAGTGCCTTTATATTATTTTATTGTTTTATTATATATTTGTAACCCATCCTCCATCCGTGCCTTTAAAACATTTATGGGGTTTTATATTATTTTATTTTTTTCCCATTTCCAATTAATTTCCTTTTCATTCTCTCAAAACCTGCTACACATTATTTAAATTGGGCACAATTCAATCATATTTACCAAGTTGCATTAATGTATTCAACAAATAGTAGAAGCTAGTATATATTTAGTCCTTTAAAACGAAGTTAGGTCAAAGAAATTTAACAATAGCACATTCAATCATTACTCTTGTACAATTAGAACATGAACAACAGCATCAAAATCCACAGCATGCCATTATGGTCAACAAGTGAATTTAATTACACCAGCACATCAAAATATTTTCTTCAATATTCTTCACCCAATAAATACAAAATGGCACCAAAGTCAGCCAATAAACCAATTTTCAATATTTTTGTTAGTCTTATTACTTCTAGCTTACCCACCTATTTGCATCCAAACCAAAACATTCAACAATGGACTTTGCAACTCTGCAGCATTTCTTGCTCCTTCATGGTTGTTTATTCATCATCTTCCGGCCTGCATCCCGCTCCCTCTACTCAAGTTTCTCCAACTCATCCTACAAAACACCATTACATAAAATGCCATTGCCTTTGAACCAAATATTATATATGAAGATACTAGTTAAGGACTTAATATTAATTGCACACTAAAAACAAAAAATTTTAAAAAGCACAGGTTGAAGCAATGACACTCTCAACCAAAAAACAAACAAAGTAAACATCACTTCCCCAACAAAGCTTGGTTAAAGACAAAACAACATACTAGCTAAAAGACATGCATACTTTGAAGCAGTCAAAATTATTCATGCACCCAATTTAAAACAACCTGAAAATAAAAAACGAGAAGCCACTACCCAATTATTGGAAATTTGTATAACTAACAAGCAAAATAGCAAAAGCATTGTGTGTTACTTGCAATTTTCTGATAAAGCCTCTGAAACAACAAGAGTGTAGATCCCAAGGACAAAGGTAAACATATGTTTATATTCCTGCAAAAGTTATTGGGTTGTAAAACAATCCACCAAAAGAAGAGGAAATAACCTTTCCTTAATCTAGTTTAATACAAAATCTTATATCAGAGAAGCAGAAGCACCAAACAAGAAGCGATTCAATTTCTTGTCATTTTAACAATCCTTGCTCACTAATAGTATGTTCAAAAAGGGAAATTTTTTATATATAAAGAAAATAACCATGAAGTCCTTAACAAGAGTAATATAGGCCGAAGGTTAAAACATCAACCTCCTCTGCAGCACCAAGGGAATTACTCAATTAGATACAAAAATGGTATCCTCCAAACATGCTTTACATAGGGCAGCAGAAAACATAGGAGAAACGCGTTTGGAAAAGACAAATATTGAGCCAAAACATAAGATTTTACCTTGACTGAGTTATGGTCAATCCTTAGAGGCTTTGTACGAACTGCAACTTAATCAATTGAAACACACTTTTTCACAAGTAATGAAGGGGGAAAAATCAGACATGAGAATTCATGAACAAAAGGGTAAGTTCCTCTGCCCAAATATGCATAAAAACAATCAATTGCCCAAGGTAACAACAACTCTAATAGCCACCACACTAAGCAAATGATACACAAAATACATCTATATGTGATAATTATAAAATGCAGGTCAGCATCCAGACCAGCACCTAATTTGTCAAAGTCATCATGATATGATGATAAGATATATAAATCTAGTATAAGTTTAGACTAGCAGAAAGAATTAATGCAATCAATGATACATAAACAAATTAAACAACAAGTGGAGAGGGGGGATTTTGACTTTTACTGATTCAGGTTGATGAATCAGACATCTTCTGCTTCTTAAAACTACCAACATATCCAAATATAAAATTTGAAAGAAATTGTTTTAGAACAATGTTTTCAGTTAATTTCAACTAGGCAATTGTCTATCCACTAAAAGTGGAAGAGACAAGACAACTGCCTCACTCTCTTATACTCAAACCTTACAGATGGTCTCAAAATTGCATACTGCTTATAAAACATCGACAACTAGGGATGAGATTATATTGATAAAACTACAAAAACGCTCTCAAAACATTAAGGATCCAGTTCAACAGCTGCAAATATCAAGTCTAATTGTACAAAACAAGAAGAGCCACGGGATTCACAATTTGTAATGAATGAAAGCAAACCAAGAGCAGTGCACTACGTACCTATTTTAAGCACATCCACAGAGCCAATATGTAATATACGCACGAGTTACTTGGCATCAACCACTACATGGACAATAGAATCCCCTGATGACCTAAACTGCAAACCAAAATTTCAAGCTAGCTAGTAATTAAAACAATGATGACAAAATTACTTAAGTAAATTTTAAGTGCATATGTAAAACAATGATGCCTAGCTACGACTACTCTGCTTTCAATATATGTAAATTCCAAGGTTCCATTATGACTAAAACCCACTTCTCAGTTTTGTTTTTTCTTTTGAAAGATTATTTGGTTCCTGATTGAATCACCCCAAAACTAATGTCTTGTTAATTTGCAATGGTTCCAAATATGTAGCATATGTTACAATTAATTAACTAAAGCCCCCCACAGTTGTCTTGCTAGTATAGTTCATGCAACCCATGATTTTAATACAGACAAAATCACAGGTGCCAATAAAAGAGAAAATCAGTAACAAATCAAATGCACAAGAACAGAACAATAGAATACCTTCCCTCTTATTTCTCTCCCCTTTTTCTTTCAAAGCTTCTCTTTCCTATACTAGCAACGATAACATCAAAACCAAAAATACAGAAACAGAAAAACAAAACAAGTCCAAATATCAAATACCGACAAATTAAACCAATCCAAAAACACCAAAACATCGAAAGCTTAGGGATTTTCATACCTTAGATTAAAGCCCAGAGAGGCAGAGAGATCTGAGAGAGAACGAGATAGGGTTGATAGAGTAAGGAGTGAGAGTGCTAGTGAGAGCGAGAGAGATGACTTGCTTGCCTGAAGAAAGAAAAGAAAATTGAAAACCAAAATCTGAGAGGGTATACAGCTGTCAAAATTTTAGATGGCAAAAGAGGGGTACAAAAAGAAAGAATGGTGTAGTCAATGTAATGTATATGTATAAAGTCTTTAGTTGGCACTGTCTTTGTGTTCGTTCGTGCCTGACTGGAAATGATGAAGGGTTTTAGGCACGGTTTTCAGTTTTTCCGTGCTTTATTCTCTACTTTATTCAAATAATTAGTCATGAAAATTATTAATCCGTCTCCAATAACATTTTATAGGGACTGTTTCTATTATCAGTCTCTAATAGTATTCTATAGAGGCTATTTTTATGTCAGCCTCGAATAAAGGGTCCCTATAGAGCATTTTTCTAGTAGTGAGCTCAAGGACTGCACTCACACAAGGCTGGGATGGATATAATTTTTTTCCAGGGCTTGACCAGGAACTCATTTTTTCTAACTGCCTAAAATTGGATCAGAATGCATGGAAGCATGGAATGGCAGATGCACAGCCTAGAATTATACAATTCGCACTTGCAGTATCAAACCTGAAGAAGAAGAAAAACAAATCGAAGTAGCATCAGATGAAGAACTTGAAAAATAAATTGAAAGATGCATCAGATGTAGAACTTGAAGAAGAAATCGAAGTAGCATCAGATGTAGAACTTGAGGAAAAAATTGAAATCGCATCAGATGTACGTCTCTCTCTCTCTCTCTCAGTTCTGTTGTTCAATTGAGCCTCTAATTAAGCCTGGTGCATCTGTTTCTCTTTTTTTCTTTTTTTCTTTTTTTGTTAATTTGTTTATTAATTACGTCCATCTGTGTCACAGAACTATTATTCTGGAAGACCTTCAATTATCATTGTATGTCCGGGACATGAAATTCCAAATTGGGTCAGCTATCAAAACGAGGGATCCATAATAAATATCAAGTTTCCTCCAGATTGGGTTGATACAGATTTCTTGGGTTTCGCTCTATCTATTGTTGTTGGATTCGACAACGATAATGTTGAAGGGAGTTTGGGGTTGGGATGTAAATCAAAATTCAAAGCAAATAATGGTAAAATCTGTGAATACAATTGTTGTATGCTTGTTCTGTATTGTCATGAAATGAACAATGGAGAAAGCAATGACTACAATTTCAATTCAGATCACGTGTTTTTGTGGCACAGCTCCTTTGAACTTGTAGAGGGAGCAAATTCCTCCCCTGGTTTTCACAATGTCACTGAGGCCTCTTTTGACTTCAACCAAGTGGATGGTTTTAAGAGACCACCCATTAAGGATTTTCAAGTTCAGGTGAAGAGGTGTGGGCTCCGGTTGTTGTATGCCAAAGATACCTAGAAATTTGATGTCACTTTGGGGGGACAAAAAGTAGAAGAAGCTACTAAAATTAAGAGATGCCGTGATGAGTCTGAAGCAAGAGGAAGTGACACTTTTGGCTCTTTTAAGGAACTACTTATTCGGGGGATTGTAAAGAAAACAGAACTGTAGGGGCAAGATCAGATTTACGGAGAACAAAATGTGGTAGTCGATGCTCTTTGCTCGTTGGGATCGCTCTTATTGTTACGCTTTTCATATTTTGGGTTCTCAACTTGTTAGTATGAAAATTGTGTTGTCATTTCCTAGACTCTAACATAGATTGAAAACTAGTGTACGAAGAATTATTACTCGACGTTTTGGCATAACTCGCTCAACCTCATACTTTCGAAGCATGACTTGACCGATATGAGAAACTGATTTCAGATAAATCATGACATATGCATTCATTATAGGATTCTTAATTAGAGTTATTTTCAATCAAGTATTTTTTTTATTAGCCCTAGTTTTAATATGATTAGATTTTATCTCTTGATATTATTTCCTACTTGATTGGTCTAATTAATTTGTTTAGGCAGATATTGTTTTAAAAGATTGGCTGTAGTGGAAAGTCATTAGATTTCCTCACATCATGCATCATTTGGCGTCATCACTTAACATTCTAATTGAATCAGTTTTTATATTGATAATTGGATAGTTGGGTTGTCATCTGTTGGATGTCTGACCTTTTTGCATCAGGCTTAGGAGTTTTAGTCTGAATGGGTCTTAGAGTCATAGTTGCTTTGGAAGTGTAGTCTCGTGATTTTCTCTCTAGTGAGAGAAACCTGCTTTGCATAAAGGCATTGTTGTTTCTTTTTCGATGTTAAGCTTTGCATTGCCATTACATCTTTGAGCATATTGAATCGTTTAGGAAAAGCTGTCGTGCTTATTTTCTTTGGTAAGTCATCAAGTGCTCCCTTGTTGCTTGGTGATTTATCAAATCTATTCATCATTCATGTTGCATACATATGCATGTCGATGATTCATACGGTTGAGGGCACCAAGATCGTGGTAGCGGTTTTTCTCCTGCGAGCTTGAAGCAATCGTGACCAGTATTGCCTTCAACATAAGGAGTGTCGAAGATCATCCCATGACAGAAGTTGAGTTACGAAGAAGTCGGTAAACATTATTTAGAATGTGTCTAGGATAAGTGTGTGAGTACTTCTTGTAATCATCGTTTTATAGTGGATTTGTATTGGACTGTGGAGTCCCTTGGATTTTCCCCAGAAGTGGGATTTTACCACGTAAAATAATTCTCTGCGTGTTATTTTATTTTATGCTCAGTACGTTTCAGGACTGATAAGCCATATCAATTCCTGCTACCGAAGTTTATTTTTATTTATTTGATTATAATATTAAATTGGTCTATTCACCCTCCTCTATGCATTTTTAGTCATCCTACAGGTATTTTCACACCTTCTCTTGTGTTGCAAGCCTTGTGGCTGAAGATGCTTTTGGTTTGCCCTGCCTAGGGACGTCCTAGTAAGTAATGGTCTTTCTTGTTCTAATCGAGGAGCTGTGGTTTGTAAAAAATTCTGAAAACTCAATTGATCGCTAAGGCATGCAGATCAATCGGCCTGCACATCAGCACCTGATCCAGGTCTGTAAATTTATATTTGTAATTACAAATGTTGTTCACCCAATCTACAAAAGCAAATATATCATAAATGAATGTTTTTGCTTCAATTCATTTTGCCCTTCCTTAAATAGTTCACGTTTTCCCTCTAAAACAACTTACAATACAAATACGAAAACAAAATTGAAGAATTTTTCTCTATCTATCACGTTTTCCCAAAGCCAGTGCATTTTCCTATCCCACGATCCGCCACACGCGCCTGCAGCGCGTGGGTGCCTTGAGTAATTTTTGGCGGCCGGAAAAAACTCCATACTGCCGGCCAAGCTTCCTATCCTAGGTATAAAACCCCATTTTGAGTCACTTTTGTTCTGGGACATACCCCGAAAAATGACTGGAAGTGGCCGGAATCGGAGTTTGAAAACTGGCAAAACTTCCATCGCTTAATCGATCTCCAAAACGCAGAAATCTCCCAAATCTAACACAACAAGCAGCAAGAACAGCTCGAGAGGTTCAAGATCCATACATGGATCGTCGGAAATGGTGGCCGGACGGCGACGAACGAAGCCGGCGAAAATCAAGCGAGAACTGGCCTGAAAATCACCTTTTTCGGGGAAGGGCCGGGTCGTGGCGCCGGGGCTGAGCTGGTCCTTTTGGCACCAGTCCCGTCCGCATCCGTGGCCGGAGTTGCAAGGGAGGAGGGTGACGGCTGTCGCGAGGAGGAGAGAGAGAGCACGTGGGAGGAGAGAGAGAGAGCTGAGGGCAAATCTGACTTTTTATCAAAAATCCCTTTTCCAAATAATTACAATCGTGCCACTGAGTTTCATTCGATTGTAACTCTCTCGTTACAACTCCGATTCGAGCCCACTTCGTGTCTACGGACTCATCTCACCGTGCTCTACGCAACAATACAACCGGAATTTCCAAATTCCTTCCGGATAAGAAATGACCAAATTACCTCTATCCCAAGGGTAAATTCGTAATTCCACTCAAATTAATTAAAACATGGGATAAATTTGGAGTCGGGGTGTTACCGTGGTACTCTTTCCTACCTCGAAATTTTGTTTTCTCTGGGAAGGTTTTAACAAGGTTGCCGTTAACATGCTAGTTCTTACCATATAATGTTCCTTTCGGTTTAATGAGATACAATATTTTCTCAACAAAAAAAACACATATTTTACCACTTCCTTTAGAAGCCATGTTACTTTTTGCTTCTTTTTTTCGGTCCATATAAATCTTTTTTTTATTTTATGTTTTTTTCTTTCTGTGAACATAGCACCTATTGAACTATAACTCGACTAGATTGCAAATTTACCCCAAATCCTCTAGTAGTAATAAATTACGACCTTAATTAAAGAAATCATCAAGTGCAGACTAATAACATATAAAAGAACACAAGGACTATCCATCAATATAATAACATATCGAAACTTAGTACCCGATCTCAAAGGAATTATTGCCATTAATATTTTCAGTTTTAGACAAAAAGAAAAAACAAAAAAAAGATAGCCTTTCTTCTCGAAATTAGCTTAAGTGATTTGCATTTGGAAAATTGAAATGATCAAGTTCCTTGTCTTTTTAATAGGGCTTCCTTATTGGTTGTGTTTGATCATGAAAGGGGAGGAAAGGGTATTTTTGCATGTACTTAGTAGGTGCTTTCTTTGCTATGTGTTAAAGTAGAAAGAGCCACTTAGAACTATTCCAGTTAACTTTGCTACGAGGGAACCGGCAGCTACCTGGAAGTTCAATGGAAGTTTATGTAGAATTTTCTCATTATTTGAGGTTTTCTTGATATTGCAATTTTTCTTTGGTTCAAGTCCAACGGTGATTGTTTGGGGGAAGAAATGAAATCAAAAGACAATGACGAGGAAAAGGGTTATATGATATATACTTTTAAGAGTCTGAATGAATAATTAATGAGTGGTTTCTAGAAATAATGGCCCCTTTTTTTGGAGAAATTATACAATACTACCGTAGTACCAGCTAGCGTTGTTGATTGGTACTACGGTCCAACAAGATTCTGCCATGTCTACAGCTTAGACATGCAACAGAATCATAAAGTTTTGCCGTTAATGCCGACGTTAAAAATGCAAAATGAATGCTCTGTGATGGGGATGCCCACCCAAAGGCTTGAAGTCCTCCCAACGCTGGCTTTTAGACCATGATCGCGTCAATATTTCAGATATAAGATTAGATCAACAAATTTCTATGCAATAATATTCTTTGACCAATTGTTGTGCAACAAAATTATTTGACATTGGGTCATTACCCAAAAAGGCAGAGGCTTTGATGGACTTCTGTTTTCCATGTCAATTTCATCTTACAGTGTGTCGAGAACACCTAATATTGACCATTTCTTGATGTTTATTTTTTGAACATGGACCATTGCAATTTCTTTGGGCTTTTGTTTTCAATGTCAATTTCATCTTGCAACGTGTTGAGAAAGTTGATTAAAAAGAGCCTTATTACTTTACTTTCCTTATTTTCAGTTTTTCTGCATTATTAGAAGGTTTTTGAAGGAAAATCGACTTTCCGAATGAGTTTTAGTGCAAGGCAAAGTGGAGAAGAAACTAAGACATTGAAGATCATTGTGTCAAATTTTCATAATTTTCTATGAAGATCATTGCTGTACTTTCCCACTTTGGAAATATTCACAGCAGATACTTGCATTGCATGGATTTGTTTATTCTTTTTATTTTATTTTTAATCTCTCTCCTTTTTTTCAAAGAAATAGCTTTTATATAATTTTAGTTTCTTAATAATTTTATTGGTCATCCACATGTTTGGTTCATTATTATCCGCTCAACAAAATATACGGCAAATTGATATGGATATTAAAATCAAACGGAATAAACCGTTACGCTTTTGTCAAACGTCAAAGCAAGGTGCATTGGCTTTGTAAGTAAAGGTTTATGCCTGCCTTAACGTCACATTGTTAGTAACGTCGCACATTAAAGACAGCGTATGGAATATGGCTGCCCGTCAATGAAGTGTCAAATGGTTTGATGAAGCGTCAAATGGTTTGATGAAGCCAACAACTTATTTTAACGTTCACACTTATTTTCTCTTTAGCTTTTATTCATTACAATTTAATACGTTCACACTACACGAAAACATTCATCCGTCAATGAAGTGTCAAATGGTTTGATGAAGCCAACAACTTATTTTCTAGAGTAGTTTTTAGGTGGGCCTGTGGGGCTGTTACTTTGAAGATTGATTAATATCTCAATTATTTTGTATGTATATGTCATCTGTATGAGTTTTTTCCTTAGACTAGATATCTTAAAATGGACAGTAAGAGGTGAAGTATTTGGCATTTCTATGTATCCGCAGAAATGCTGTGAAGATTATCTTACGACACAAACACTGGTATGGTTCATTTTAGGTGTTTTTTCAATTGATTTCATCTTGCAGCGTGTCGAGAACACCTAAGGGCATTCACAATGGGCTTCCTAAATCGCTTCCTTAGACAAATTTTAGGGAGGAATTAGAAAAATACAACTCTAACCATGCTCCCTATCCACCTCCTAAAATAGGGAGACCTCTAGGAACTCTTAAATCTGAGGAGAGATAAATGACTTCTAGTGGATCCATATAATTTAATGTTGTTTTTTTAATATATATATTTTTTTTATAGAGATGGACCAATCATATTGAATTAAAAAAAAACTATAGTATTTATAACTCTAAATTAGGGAGTATAATTGGAGTTCAAATTTTATAGAGAGCTCCTAAAATAACTTTTGTGTGTTTTTAGCTAAAAAATAAGGACTATAACATTTCTTGATATTTATTTTTTGAACATGGACGATTTCAATTTCTGTGTGCTTTTGTTTTCAACGTCAAAGTCTTGGGCTTCTTTCCCTTTAAAATATGGCAATCCTTGGTCTTCATTACACTCTTCATAATTCTGACTTCTTCATTATAGTTGCCACATACATTACCATTATTCCATGCATTGCAGATTTTCACGTTCTTGTTGTTGGTTGCATTGCGATGTCTCTAAGCAGGCTATCAATTTTCCGTCTTCAATCCTTGATAAACTGCTCTCTTGTTCTCTTTATGTTCTTCAATTTTTTCCAACCCTTTGTTCATCCACTTTCCTTCAGCATCAATGAATTTGGTCGAGATGCAAACAACATACTCTATGAAGGTGATGCCGTGCCTACTTCAGGAGTGATTGAACTCAGCACGACCACAGCCACAGATCTACAGGATATATATTGCCGCACTGGCCGGGCTACGTATGCGGAACCTTTGCACTTATGGGACTCTGATAAACTTGCAGACTTCACTACTAATTTCTCTTTCATTATCGACACTGTTCATAATGATACCAACATTGGTGATGGACTTGTGTTTTTCCTTGCCCCTGTTCACTATCCAATTCCACCAAACTCTGCTGGTGGTGATCTAGGATTATTAAACACCACTACTCGTTTTGACAAAGCATCCCAAAACCAAATTGTAATGGTTGAGTTTGACACTTCGCCAAACTCATGGGATCCACTCTGGCCACACGTTGGGATCAATATCAATACCATCTCCTCAGTTGTTAATGCCCGTTGGGATGCTCTCGGCAACAGTGGGAAGAAGGCTCACGTACAGATAACTTACAGTGCTACCACCAAGAACCTCACTGTGTTTTGGACATATGAGGAATATACTGATGTGGCCATCACTTCGCTTTCTTACCCTATTGACCTGAGAAAAGTTCTCCCAGAGTGGGTTACAATTGGATTTTCTACTGCCAATGGGTGTGCCCGAGAGCGGAATGCTATATATACATGGGATTTCAGATCAAACTCAAAGGAGTTAAGTACCAAAAAGGAGAGGAGGTTATTCTGGATTGGAGCCGTTGCAGTTTCTGTCTTCATTTTGATTCTTGGTGTAGCCACATGCTGGTTGGTGGTAAAGAGGCAGAAAAACAGGATTGATGAACATGGAAATGACTCCAATTCAGCAGCCTCTACAGATCTTGTGTGGCAAGCCTTGCCAAGACGATTTTCTTACGAAGAATTAGTTGCAGCCACCAATGACTTTGCAAACGACAGAAGGCTAGGCCAAGGAGGGTCAGGGAAAGTTTATAAAGGAATCATACAAGATCTAGGCTGCACAGTTGCTGTGAAGAGAATCGTCCCAGAATCCGAGCACTATGAGAAAGTCTTCATCAACGAAGTGAAAATAATAAGCCGCTTAATACACAGGAACCTGGTGCAATTCATTGGATGGTGTCATGAGCAAGGCGAGTGCTTACTTGTTTATGCATACATGCTGAACAGCAGCCTTGACACGCATCTATTCGGCTCTAGAATAACCTTGCAATGGGATTTGAGGTACAAGATAGCTTTAGACTTGGCCACAGCCGTTCATTACCTACATGAAGATGCAGAGACGTGTGTCCTGCATAGGGATATCAAATCAGCTAACATATTGTTGGACTACGATTTCAAGACTAAGCTTGGTGATTTTGGGATTGCTAAGCTCGTGGATCCGCAGTTCAGGACTCAGACAACAGGAGTGGTAGGGACTTTTGGTTACATAGCCCCAGAATATGCAAATGGAGGTAGGGCTAGTAAAGAGTCAGACATGTATAGTTTTGGAGTTGTGGCCTTGGAACTTGCATGTGGAAGGAGGACTTATCAGGATGGAGAATTCCACGTGCCGCTTTTCAGGTGGGTTTGGCAGCTGTACCTTGCCGGAAATCTGCTCTCTGCAGCTGATGAGAGATTGGATATGAATTTTGTTCCAAATGAAATGGAATGCTTGTTAATTGTGGGATTATGGTGTACTCATCCCAACAACAAAGAAAGACCAAAAGCAGGGCAAGTGATGAGGGTTCTTCAGCTTGAAGCACCATTGCCTCAACTTCCAAAAGACTTGCATGATTAACTTCTAGTTTCGAAACTGTGGGTCGTTAAAGTAGTACACCAAACAACTTCAAGGGCAAATAGATGAAGTTAAACGTAGGGATGTTCATTTCAGTGTTAATTCTTCTTATTTAGGAAGGGGGGAAATATGTGTGTGGCTGAGGGTGTTATCTGGATTTGGTGGACATCAGTTTACACCACTTGTAACATTTTCTATTCTAAAATTTTGTGTATCTTTTCTTAACTGATTGCTTGACCCGCTAGATGATATGCATGATCACTGCATTCCCCAACAGACAAAAACTGATTAGTTCAGACAATTTGTCATGATGAAGCAAATCACTCCAGCTTGCAGCTAAAAGTCAATGTAGAAATTTGGCTTAGGGTTTTGAACTTTGAACAGCATTTCCCTTATTCAAAATTGGTCATATCGTGAATTCAGTTTCTTAAAACAAAAATGAAAAAATATATAAAAGAATGTTAAGAGGATGTTAAAACTATTTTGCTATCTTCTATCAATTACGCCATGACATGCGTGACAACACTAATACATGACAGAACATTATTTGTCAGAGATAACAAAACAGTGCTATTCCTGTTGCAACTAAGTTTTTCTCCATTAACAGAGAGTCTCACTTATGCTTTGCGCTTTGGAATATTTTAATTTCCCTATCAAGTGGGCTTAAATTCAAACTCTATGCAGCCCAATACCAACGGACCCAATTCAATTTTTGTTATAGCCCAATTGCAAATATAGGCCTGTTGGGTGAGGCCCAGTTTTGTTTTTCATTTTTTCACCGTCCGGCTTCAACGTTCGAGAAGCGTAACGAGGGAGGAAGAAAGGGTTCTGGTTCTGGACCAGATGAACGACGCCTCAGCCTCCGACTTTAGTGATGATACTGAGCTCCACGCGGCACGTTCGCTTTCTGTTATAAACGCAGCATTTGATTTGGCAGAAAACCCCAAGAAAGCAAACTGGTAGCAGCGTTCGAAAAATCGGCCTAGGCTGGAAGAACTGCCGCAATTTAACCCTAATTGTTAGGGGGAGGCGGCAGGAAGTTAGGCTGCGCCTGGGCGGGTCGGGTCCTTTAAATATATATATATTTTTTCCAGAGCTCAGACCCTTAGGCATTGGTAACAAAAGCTTACGACTTTCACAGTTTGTACAAATTTCTCATTGAAATTATTGCCATTAATATTTTTCAGTTTTAGACAGGCTACTGTTTTACCCAAAAAAAAAAATGATGGTCTTTCTTCTCGTGATTTGCATTTGGAAAATGGAAATGATCAAGTTTTATTTAATTCGCTTTGCAGTTTAATAATCCATTAGGAAGATACTTGGCTAATCTCTTTGGTAAACCTTATTTTTGATATGGTAATTTAATGAAATGACGTTGAATTTGAAAATCAAGATGTGCTCAAATTTGTTTGTATATTCCACTGCTATTGCTGAAAATTATTCAAACATGTGGTTGAGTTGAGTAGGTGTTTGATTACACAGAAAGAAATAAACAAAAACACTTTGGCTACCTCCTTCATTCTACCCTTGTTTACAATTCCATTTTACAAAATCCCATTCATTCCATTTTATTCACACTGCACGAAAACATTCATCGGTCAATGGAGTGTCAAATGGTTTGATGAAACCAACTACTTATTTCCTAAATTTGTAACATCCCGACCCTAAAATTAAAGAATTAAATTTAAAACATAATAAATAAATTAAAATAAGTAAATTAAATAAACTAATAATAATTATTGAAATTTAATAATTAATATTATTTAAAGCCAAAATGGTTAATTTAATTTCGGGAAAGAATTTGGCGAAACGAGTTGCGCCATTGCGTCCGGCTCGTCGAACGAGTCCGTAGACGGGACGGGAGGCACGCTCGATTTGGAAAATTAACGAATAAAAAGGACATAATGGTAATTATGGAAATTTATTAAAAAATTATTTAAAACCCAAAAATAACCCCAAAACCCCGAGGAGTGCGCGAGTGCACAGTGGCACTCGCCTTCTCTCTCTCCCAAACCCGATCTCCCCTATTCCACTGGACAAAAGATGAGAACTGTATGACATGGTTGAAGAATTCTCTACCAGTGATGAAGTTGAGCATTCTTGTCCATCCTGCCATCAAAATCCGTTGCATTCAGGTTTCCGAGTGCACTTCCCATTATGTCTTAACGAGTCCTTAACCCATAAGCTCAAACACACGATATCGTATTGACAAGGCAACAAGATAATGAAATATAAGAGAAATGGAAAAAATAAAAGCCTATGATTTTGTTCAATTGAGAAGATGCCAGATACCTTGTGAGAAACACAGTTTTTGAGAATTGCATACACAAACTGTGAAAACCAATCTGGGAGACTAGGCACTGTTCTCAAAACCCAGGAAAGAAACTTCCCCACAGGAAGTTCAACTTCCAAACCCGAGAGCTGGCAATCCCACACATTCAAGCCACTGCCAACTTCAGCACATGAAACAATAGCCGACGAAACAATCTGATTAATATCCGGCGGAGGTAAATCTGTTTTCTCTTTGGAAATTTTCGAAGTCCTAGAATTCCAGGAAATAGCCCAACACATCCAAGGAAGCATAAGCACGTCCACGGGCTTAAGCGACCCGGTTATCTTACTGTCAACACCATCAGATTTAAAATCCAAGTTCGAAGGCGAACCCGCTTTTTGAAGTGCCACAGCAAACACTCTGAGCAATATATTAAGCGACACAGACGCAGACATTCTTGCACAACACTTATTGTAGCCCCTAACGTAACGAACTCAACCCAGCTCACTTTGCCATTCTCCGAGACGAAAAACGGGTCCAGAATTGACGAACCAAGATGATCCAACAGCATCGGAAATGAATCAGGCACTGTAAGAGCTTCACATACTGGGTTCTTGTACGTTAAACAGAAGCGTTGCTGAAAAATTGAAACGCAAAAGCTTCAATTTCTGGTTTATAGATGCATAGAATGAAAATTGAATTCGAGGAGTTGAGTTGGCATTTTGAGTCTACCTGAAGAGAGTTGAGGGGAATTGCATTAGAATCAGGATCGGCGAGGTTGGAGAAAGATTTCTGAAGCATAGAAAGAGCTCCAGTGGATGCTGCTAGGGTTTCCGCCTCTCGTTGCTTGATCGAAACCTTCTGCTCCGTCGAAGTTGATGCTCCCATTTTCGCTGGATTTTCTCCGCAACCGGATATTCTTTTCTTTTCTCAACTCAATATAATATATTGCGCCAACTTACCGACTTATCTGTCTGCGTTTCTTTAGTTAGAAGTTAGAAAGAACGATCTCACAATACGGTGTCCTTTTATTCCGGTGAGGAAACGGCCACGTGGCAGGAGTGATGCTTAAATCACGCCACGTTTCCGGTGACGGTTATTGACTGGATCTTAAGCGCATTTCCAAATCCAGCAACCCGACATTTTTTCAGTTCGGGTCCAAGATACGGACTAGAGATACAATTGTGAAGAGCAGAGACTGAACCACCGCTCAGGCTCAGGGGTTGCAATCCGATTAGGGTTTTGCCGCATGCACTCGACGAGTCAAGCTGAGATTGTCATCACCAAATCCAATGGCACCTCCTCCAAGTCCTTACTCTGGCACCAGCACCGTCGCCTTGGTACACTCCTTTCCTTTCCCTCTGATCTCTTCTGCCGAGGAATGTGATCGTAAAGTTTATTTCTTTAACTTTTGAATGTTTGATAGGTTGCTCGTGCATCGGCCTTCACTTTCGGTCTGGTTTATGGAAGCGTGAAGCTCAGGGTTCTCAAGGTGCTTCCTGATCTCCTTCGGTCTGGTTTATGAAAAGTAGATACGTTGAACTTTTCCTCTCCTTCATTAGCTTTGCCTTGAGAAAAAATTAAGAATGAGAGAGCACCTTCACTCTTGCTTTGCCTTCAACTTTTCTTGCATTGTATAGACGTTCATTTACTTTCTTCTTTTGATTATTAGATGAAGGCCAAGTCACATAAGAAAGCTGAAGCCAAGGCTAAACATTGACGGGCTGAAATGGTTGCAGCAGGGCAACATCATTATAATTTCTTGCCAGAAGAACGTTTATTTTATGTTTTAGTTAGTACTATTACATTGACCAACTCCTTCCTACCCTTTAGAAGCTTCAACCATAGGCTGAGTGAGTGCCAGCCTATTCGGATTGTTCAGTACTTCTCATCTAAGTCTTCTTAGCCCTTTCTGCTCCAAGGTTACGGAAAATTTGGAATTCATAATTTTGGTGGTAGACCATTTTCCTTCGGAAATTTTTTGTTACACTACATTATGCAACTCTAGGACAGCAAAGGACACGTTAATTATAAGCAGTCGAGATTGTATGTACGATTTTGTTAGCCAATATTATTATTGTTCTTATTCTTATTTTGAAAAGTAATCGTTAGCCAATATTATTAGTGTTGAATAAAAATAAAAAAGAAGAAAAAACTTAATCAGGATCCTAAGACCCGCGAGTCACATAGAAAAAAGATTCTAGGCCCAATATCATATTTTGTTTGTCGCACTGGATCCAATATTAATAAGGTGGATCTTAGAAGATTCTATGTCCAATATCATTTTTGTAACCCATGGAAAGGGCCAGTTTGTTGAGTTTCACTTTTGGGATAGAAACATAATTACTTGAAGCAATGGAGAAGGTAATTGATATTTTAAATGTGTTTTAATTGTTTTTGAACCAATTGGGTACTCCAAAAAGTGTTCTATGATCCAGACTTTTAAATTTTTTTAATCAAACACTGTCATAAGCAATGGCAAAACCAGGAATTTATATAGGGCCGGGCTAAATTTTTTTTCCTTGGCTTCTTCTATAAAAGAATATATCATGCTTCAAATTGTCAAGAATTATTTTTTTGTGGGTAGGGGGGCTAAGCCGAAACAGCATAACTAAACAAGAACGAGGCCTATAGTCTAGTTAAATTTAGAAACCAAACTAGTTCATTCTTTTCCCAAACTTCTTTTCCGAAACACTAACACAAATAAGTACAACCAAACTGAAAAAACACACACACAAAGCAGCAGAAAGAACACAAAGAGGAACTCAAGAAGAAAAGACCAGAGAGAGAGAGAGAGAGAGAGAGAGAGCTAGAAAAAGAACACAAAGAAGAAGTGATTGACCAAAAAAACAGAGAATTGACAAGTTTATAAACTTGGTATGCATATAATAAAGATAAGGGTCGAAAAATTAAATATTGTGTTGCATTTAACTGGTTCATATGATGTTGTTTTTTCAGGCATTCATTCATAACTTTGCACGGTTTCTCACTTCCTTTTACAAAAGGCACTCCAGACAATCCAGAAAATACAAAGGCACTCACGTGGCCTCCAAACCAAAAAGTAATTAAAAAAACAACCTATATTATATATATATATATGTATATATATATATATATCGGTCAATACTTATATATCATATATAGAGAGCTAATTTTTTCACTTTTCTTTTGTCCACTTACACTCCTTTTGCTGAAAATTGTATATTCTCACTCCTGACCAAAAAAAAAAGTGGGATGGGCTACCTAGATTATAAAATTTGCAAAAAGGGCTAATATTCGTGGGAGTAGGAAATACCTTATAAATTTGCACCAAAACCAATGTTTTATCAAATCTTGCAAGGGGATGAAGTCCAGTCTAGTCTTTACGTAATTTTGTTCTTGGTTAGAAACACTTTTAGTTATCAAAATGAACTTTAGCCCTTTTAAAAGCACGCCTAAACATACCATTAATCTACTAAGTCATGAACTTCGTAGGTAGGTATAGCACGTAAGAAACCTATTTGAAAACGGGCAACATATTTTATCTGCATTGCATTGCATGCATATCATTTTCATTGGTCTTGTACCACATACATAATATTCTTATTGACTTTCTTTTCTTGCTATTGCAACAGTATCTTTTAATTTCTCACTGTACATATTGAGGGTTCTTTTGACTAATTGTTCAACTCGGATCTTTGTCTTCTTAAATTGTCATTTTATAATGATCCTTGACCTTTTCTGTTTTCTGGTTACTGATTATTTATTTGGTTTTTCTGTGGAAATTCATTTTGGATTCTTTTTCTTCTCCGGCTGCTCCATTTCAACTTGTTTTCCTATAGTCCTCCAATAGGAAGTTTCTTTGTATTAGGGAACGTGTTACCTTTTGTCCTTTTTCTTTTCTTCGTTTTTTAAATGGTAGTTGTAATTATTTATTTACATTTTGGTAAAATGGGTGTAAGAGGAGAGACACTCTCATGCAATGGTGATATCACTTTTTGCCATCCCAAAGTTTTTCTGGTGTGAGAGGCCAGGTCCATTATCTCTGCAACTAGCTATAAAGAGTCGACAGAATTGACTCATTTGAGTCTTGACTAGTTCCAGTTTTAGCATTGAAATTTCTTAGCAGGAAGGGCTTGCGTAGTTTCCTTTTCACATGTTTACCTCTGCTTAACTTGTTGGAAGTTTGAATGAAATTCAAGAAGGTAGAAAGTAGAAAGAATGAGGTCTTTATAAGTGTGAAAATCTCACACTTAGTAAATGGAAGTGAGCCAAGTGGAAGCAATTTGGACTTCAAAATCTATTTGGGCTTTGAATATTATATAAAATTATATAATATTTAATGGTCAAAAAGATGGGCTTTGAATATTTTTTTGGTTTCGAATTAATAATTTGTTATTAATTCGGATTAGTTTTATTAACTGTTTTCTAACAGTTGTAACTCTACTGATAAGGTTTCAGAAGTTTATTTAAATCAAACAAGGCCTCATACGTTCAACACAGAAAAAGCATTCACAAGCATCTCATCTTGTCTGAGAGGAAAACAAACGGGTGTAAGAGGAGAGACACTCTTATGCAATGGTGATATCACTTTTTGCCATCCCAAAGTTTTTCTGGTGTGAGAGGTCAGGTCCATTATCTCTGCAACTAGCTATAATGAGTCGACAGAATTGACTTATTTGAGTCTTGACTAGTTCCAGTTTTAGCATTGAAATTTCTTAGCAGGAAGGGCTTGCGTAGTTTCCTTTTCACATGTTTACCTCTGCTTAACTGAATGTTAAATATTGGCTAGCTAGTTATTCAGAGGTGCATCGAGGTTTCATCCTTTAACTTTCAGGGTTTTGCAGGTTTTTTATATGGCTTCATCCTCTTCTTCTTCTTCTTCTTCTCGTTCTTCTTCTCCTCCTTTTGCTAATCCCCCTCCACAAAAGTACGATGTGTTTATAAGTTTCAGAGGTGCAGATACCCGGGACACTTTTACAAGCCATCTCAAAGCTGCTTTAGGTCGCAAGAAAATTGACACCTACATGGATGACAAACTTCGGATGGGGGACAAAATTGGACCTGCCCTCTTTCAAGCGATCGAGAAATCAAAGGTTTCGTTAATCGTTTTCTCGAAAAACTATGCTTTTTCCACGTGGTGTTTGGGTGAACTTGAGCATATATCGGAATGCAAAAAAAGATACGGACAAATTGTCATACCCATTTTTTACGGCATAGATCCATCACAGGTAAGGAAACAACAGGAGAGTTATGCAGTTGCATTTGCTCAACTTGAAGAACGTTTCGAGGACAACATGGACCAAGTGCTCAAGTGGAGAAATGCTTTGAAGGAAGCAGCCGATATGTCTGGCTTCGATAATTCAAAAAGAACAGGGTAACTCTTTGTGACCATTTCATTATTATATATAAAAGAATCGTTAAGGGCTAGTTATACTAAATATTATTATTAATTAATATTTTTTTATATAAGCGATATCTTGTAACCAAATGGCTTAATCCATATCTGCTACTAAATATTATTCTGTGTTCTTCATTTTCAGGACGGAGGCTGATTTCATTGAGAAAGTTGCTGAAGATGTTTTGACCAAACTGAATCGCACATCTTCTTCAAGTGATTCCGTGGAATTGGATGCATTTCGATTAAGGCAAATTGAGGAAATTGAATCGTTATTATGCATTGATTCACCAGGTGTTTGCACTGTAGGCATTTGGGGCAAGATTTCGCTGAAGACCGTTGGTGATGAATTATTTCACCGGCTGTCTGGTCAATTTGAAGCTACTTGTTTTCTTGCAAATGTTAAGGAGGAGGAAAGAAGACAAGGACTGAAACACTTGAGAAATGTACTTCTTCGTGAGATATTAAACGAAAAAGATCTAAGTATCGACACTCCATCTGTATCCCCGTTTATTCGAGAAAGGCTCAGCCGTACAAAGGTCCTCATTGTTCTTGATGATGTGAATGATTCAAGCCAGATAGAATATCTAGCATGTGGTGGTCATCATAAGTTTGGCCCTGGAAGTAGAATCATTATAACAACTAGAGAGAGGAGTCTACTTAAGAAAACTGTTCATCATGATAAGATTTACAAGTTTGGTCGTAAGTACAGATTGATTTCATCGGCAATGAAGATTGGTGTTTCCGTCAGAGATAGGGCTGCAGCCTTAGCTGCACCGTACGTTACCCAGTGAGTGAGTGAGCAACTACCCCAACCCAACCACTCTGCTGGCCAATTGTAATCTTCCTCATCTTGTTCACAATTTCACATGCATCTCTCATTTACAAATTAATTATATCTCTTTACATCACCTCCATCCTGCAGCCTTAACCGCGCTATAAAGATATAGTATTAGAAACTATGATCAATTAACCACTTGCAGGCATATAATGTCACTACTTGCTGGCATATAATATCACCACTACCATTTGACCCCAAAAAAAAAATATATATCACCACTACCATCAATTATCACAAAGCAGGAAGTTGCTTCGCAAATATGATGACAAGCAAGTGGCTTAGTAATATATTATATGAATGTATAGAAATACTAAAATTACAATTCTTTAATTGAGTGGTTAAATGGTTTTATATTCAAAACTATAAAACCAAGTTGGTATAAAAAAGAAAAGTTGATATAGATCCAAATTTTCATTGAGAAGTTGGGGTTAATCTCGGATTTAGCGACTTTGATACAAGTCCTTTGACTCTTGTGCCACATAGGATTACATTCATTTTTAAATATTTTCTAATGTAATCTTTTTATTTTTATTTTTTAAAATACAATCCTAGACATGAAACTATAAATATACCCTACACTATTTAAAACATAGAAACACACCCAAAATAAACCCAAAAATCAACAATTGTATATTTTTTTAATTTAATTAATAAGATGAAATATCTGTATTACCCTTTTTAGCATTAAATTAGTTTTGGATCTCGTTTGAAGCTTCCCTCATATTTGACAACCTCAGGTTTGAA